TCTTGGCAGTGGGGTCGATCAGCACGTTGCCGCCGTGGACGTACGGCTCCGAGGGGGAGGCGAGCTCCTTGGAGCCCTGTTTGGTGAGTGAAGTGAGATACAGGCAGGTGCCGGTGAGGAAGTCTTTGGGCTGGCCGACGTCCATCCAGAAGCCCTGGAGGTCGAAGCTGTGCAGCTGGCCGTCGCGGACAATGGCGGGGAATGTTTCCTTCTCGATGGAGGTGGGACGGAGCTCGATGCGCTTGAGGACGCTCGTGTTGAGGATGTACATGCCGGCATTGATGCGGTTGCCGACGAACTCGACGGGCTTCTCGACGAAACGGTCGATCTTGGTGGCGTGGCCGGGCTTGTGGACGACGACGCCGTACTTGGAAGGCTCCTCGACCTTTGTGACGACAATGGTGCCTTCATCGCCGTGGTTCTTGTGGAACTCGGCGAGTTCCTTGAAGGGGAAGTCGCAGATGACGTCCGAGTTGAGGACGAAGAAGGGGGAATCATCCTTGGCGAGGATATGCTCGGCCAGCTTCAAGGGGCCGGCGGTGTCGAGAGGCTCGGTCTCGATGGAGAATGTAATGGTGAGGCCGAACTTCTTCTCGTACTGTTGTTGAGTTGCGCGTCAGTATTGGTCGGCGTAGGGGTTGCTCCGGGGGGGGGACGCACCTCTGCCAAGTGCTTCTCCATCACCTCGGGACGGTAGTTGACAGCAAGAACGACATCGGTGACACCGGCGGCAGCGAGGGCCTCGATCTGGTGCTCAATCATGGGCTTGTTTCCAAACTCGACCAGGGGCTTGGGGAGGGTCAGGGTCTGCGCATCGAGAGCGAAATCAGCAAGCATGTTCTGCCAAGTGTCTGCAGCAGGTGGCGTGACTGGCGGCGATGGCCATATGCCGCGCGTCAAGCTGGAAGAGGGGGTTGTGGGCTCACCAGAGGGCGAAGACGAGTGCCGAAGCCGCCGACGAGGATAATGGCTATCATGCGCGTGCGTTAGCATGTCTGTGTCGATGAGACGGCCGGCTGGCCGGTGCCGTGGCTGCCAGCCCCGTGGGCGCAGAAGCAAGCGGCGAGGCTGACTCTGGCTCCGGTTCTGGCAGGAGGGGCAGGCAGGCAGGCAGGCAGCTAGCTAGCTAGCTAGCTATCGAGGCCGAAGGAGGTGGTGCTCACCCTTCATCTTGGTGGTGTTGTGTTTAAGGGGTTATGCGGTGTGGTTCGACGTCGGTTAATCAAGTAAAGAGAGTAGTGTTGCGACGGCCTTGGAGGGAGGTGCAGTGCGAAAGCAAAACGAGTGTATATGAATGGATAGATCGGGGGTGGAAAAGAGAAGAAGCTCTTCTTCTCTTGGTACAAAAAGGTAGCGCGACTGGTCGAGTGTGTTCGGCAGAAGCGACAAGGGGTAAGTAAGCTTCCGCTTCCGGGTGTTTCTTTCGCAGAGAAGAGCAAGGTTGCAGGGAGGAAGAGCGAGTGCAATGAAAATAATAACGAAGGAGGAGAGGTTGATAGGGGGAGAAGGGAGGTGGAGAGCGAAGAATGCCAAAAGCGTCCAGAGAGACAGACAGACAGATAGACAGACACAGTGAGTGAGTGCAGTGCGGTGCGGTGCAATGGCAGAAACGAGAAAGAGGCGCAGACGCTGGCCAGGGTGGTGAGGACAGGCAGGAAGGAAGGGACTTTCCAAAATGACACGACATCATCTCTATCACCCCATGGCCCTGGTTATTTGGTACATACTGCGTATGTATGTACGGATACAGCCTACGTACCACACAGCTTACAGCCACACACACATGCACGTACCCTTCTGACTGGCTCTGGGGGAGGGAACGGCAAGGAGGCTAGGCCAGACAGGCAATCAATTGGGGGGGGGGGGGGCAAGCACGGCAGAGAAGCACAGGGCACCCAAGGGAAGGGAGGAAAGGGGCCCAGGGGTGTTGAAGCAGCAGGAACGGGTACACAAACGCTACCGGCTGCACTCCGGCACCAACGTACCACTACTACAGCAGTAACCAGCATGTATTAGTGTACGGGTCAACCGCCTTACTACGGAGTACGGATACTAGGTGTGCCAAGGAAGGTAAGGAAGGCAAGGGATCTGGCAAGGCTACTGTTCTAGACCTTTTCCCTTATCCTTTCTTCGTTTCGGCCTCTTGTCCCAATCAGACCATCATCTATTGCTGAAGGTCGGATGTACGGATAATGTTTACGAGACGGTTGAAATAGGTACCTACAAACCTACCCGGCTACTCATCCAAGACACGCAGAGATACGTATCGAAGCCCAATGTAAAATCACATCCAATGGTCTCCCACCATCGCAGTAGGCCCTCCAATCCCAACGCGAGGCGAGGCAACGAAGCTCGAGAAAAGTACCATGCCGGACGGCTACGCCTCAACGCCCAGCTGTCAGGGGAAGGGTAGGTAGGGGGGGCCATTGCTGCCACCTTGACTTTCCGCGATGGTCTGTCTGTTGTTGGTCGAGTCACTAGTTATACCATGTACATCTACCCAAAGTCATATCCATTACGGATCACGACCTGCTTTGCTTGTTCGTGTGCGCACACGTAAATATCAATATGGTCGTGCATACCTAGACATCCTCTTTGGCATGTACTAAGTGATACATACCTACATGTCCATGTACGATGTACTGAGTACGGATACTGTCTGCGCCTCCTCCCCCTCTGACCCCCAATTTCCCCTGCCGAGATTGATCAAATTGTTCATGCCTTCTTGGCCCCACCCCTTGCTTCTTGCTTGCCTTGCCCCCCCCCCCCCCCCCCCCCTCCCCCCCGAGTCCCTGACAGTGTCTGGCTGCCTTGGACCACTCCGAAACCTTCCAGCGGGAGCCCATGTAAGGGCTCTCTCTCTCCCTACGGATATAGTAGTAGGTAGACCGACGACACCTGACCGGCGCCCCCCTGCTCAATTCGAGGCTTTTTTTCCGTACATCTTCCCGCGGGGTCTTCGACTGTCGATCGCCATTGCGGGGTCGTCACGCGGACCGGCAACCTGACGGCACAGCAATTGCCCTCCAACAACGAACCAACGAGGCGCCGCGGATGCACGTCGTCTTCTTCTTCTTCTTCTTCAGCCGCCTTGTGTGGCGCTTGACGCCCACAGCCTTCGCAGTTACGAGGGAACATGCAATGTCGGATTTCCTCCCCTCCCTTCCTTACAGCAAGCGGCCTTTTGCATCTTCTCTTTCTCCTCCCCCTTGGCGCTTTTGTCTCTGATTGGACGTCGCAGATCAACCCTTCCTGCACGTGTATGCTTGTTCCACGCATCCCTAGCTTCCAGGCTTATTCCAACATCTTTCTCTCCCCTTCTCCCTCCCTTTTGGTCTCAGGATGCCACAGAAACACGACCAATTCACACCCCACATCGTCGTCGTCGTCGTCGCCGCAGAAATCGCCCGGTGACCTCGAAATAGAAAGCGGGCCCTCTTCGAGCGAAGCCACAGCGCCCACAACAGAGATGCAACATGCGACGTAATTTTCCCTACGTATCCAACTGTTCTCGGACGCCCCGGGAAGCGGTTCCTCCTATTCGAGGGAAGGGTACAGTTCCAAGGCGCCGAGGTGGAGGCGACATCAAACACCAAACGAGGCCAGATGAACCAGCGTGACAATGTACGGCTCTGAGAAGACGCAAAACCCATAGCGCGTCAACCCACATCCCGGGACCGCCCGGCGTCCGACTCGGCCGGGTCATCAAGGCCTCGTAGCTTCGTCATCCCTCTCTCTTCCACAGTGACGGAGCCTTCAGCGCCGGCCAGCAAGCAGGCCTCCCTGGTCTAGCACAGAGGGAAGCCCCCTTCTGCCCCCTGTCTGAGAGATTCGCAATCCCAGCACGTCACACGGACTCCCGCCCGTCCCAATACCTACGTAGAGAAGGGGAGCTTCATCCGAATCCGCTCCCTTCTCAAACTCGACTATTGCAGATCCTTCGAAAAGAGAAAAAAAAAAAAGTCAATGACTTGCCGAGGTCGAGATCATCAACGGGTCGATCTCCGCGAGTGTGCGACAATCCGCCACACATGTCTTCTCAGCCTACGGACACTAATCCCTGGCCCAGCTACAGCTTCCCAAGTCCATCACCCATCTATCGGGACCAACAGCGCCTCCTAATCTAAACCGTATTACATGTCACGTTGCCGAGCTGACTGATGAGCGGCCCTTGGACGTATAGCACACACACACATACACACACTCGCACTCACACACCCTTACGCAGCACACACATCACACACACGCGCGCGCGCGCGCATACAATCACAATCACACTCGCACCCGCATGTGTGTGTGGCTGCTTCTTGCATCTTTCCACGTTGTGTCGTTGCGCCCACCGGGTTCGAGGTGAGCCATCATGTCTCAGAGGTCTCTGGAGCATGGCAGCCTTTCCCCTTCTTTATCCCGTCCGTCCCTCCAGTTCCACGTCCTCGGCTCCTCGGGGCGCCCCCCCCTCTTGCTCGTCGGCAGGCGTTCCGTACGCAGGCCCCCCACCCCCCGTCAGTGGCCGTTGGCGCGGAGGAAGGGGGCAAAGTCGGATCCGTTCCTGATAAGAAGCAACAGACTACTTGCTCTCACCCCGGCGTGGCCCGCAACGTCGTTCGACATGCATGGCTCGCCCTTTCTCACATCGACGGTCCCAAATGTCATAAACGCCAAATAAGCTCAAAAACTTGTTTTTTTTTTCTTTTTTTTTTCTTCTTGCTCTCCGTTCTCGCAATCATATCATGGATTCTTTAGTCATCATGGTCGTCATCATTATCATAAGCGCCGCGGAAAGCGTCACTGGAAAAGAGAACAGGTGGAAAGGGAAAGAAGAAGAAAAGAAGAAGAAAGAAAAGTGCCGTAGCATCATGGAATCCATCCTCCTCCACGTCCAGCCCATGAATGCTTCCCCTGAGAGAATCCACATGTCACCACGTCCCTCCTAGTTGTCCTTCCCTTTCCCTCTCAAACTTCCTCCAACCCAAACCCCCTAGGCCATCCGTCCGCTGGCATCAAGATCTGCCTCCGCCTCGCCAAACATGAAAGAGCCATCTGCACCTCGCGAGATTCGGCTCATGAGAAGGGGTCTCAGAAGGACATGCCCATCCACGAGATATATACCCTTTGCTGCCGTCCAAAATGCCAGAGAAAATTACGCTTCGCTTTTTGAGGCAAATGAAGGGGGGGTTGCTTTTTTTTCTTTTCTTTTTTTTTTCACGAGCCAGTCTTTTTGTCATTAACCCCTCCCTTTTCCCCACTCCTCCTCTTTTTTGTCTGTCTCGTGAGAGCAGGAGCGCAAGGAGAAAATAGCAAAAAAAACATTGCTGTGCCGCACCCCGCGTCTCCAGCCTGAAGTCTAACCGCCCCATCATATCTTTTGTTGCAATCTTTTGTGGTGAAACGAACGAGTAAGAGAGGGGAAAAGAAGAAGGGAAGAAACAGGAGCAGCCCGAACCCATTGCGTATCGAGCCCAACCATTGGAGAACGACAGCGGAAAACATCAAGAGCAAAATGGATGGTCGATCGGCCAGAGTCGCCTCGGGCTGTTGATCCGTTCAGAAGTAGCGGACGGCCTTTTTATGACTGGTACTGTACAACCCCAGCCAAGCGCCTGGTCATGAAAAATAAAAATAAAAAGTCTTAAAAGAGCTTGAACGATTCGGTAGGAAAAGAGGAGAGAGAAAGGACCCAACGGTTTTGTCCGTAATCCGAAAGTAGCCGGCCGGAAGGTATCGCAGGAGAGCAATGAAAAGATGGAAGGAGAAAAAAAACCAAATGTGCCGCGCGGAAACCATGAGTCTAAGTCGTCAAGTCGTTATGAGTCGTTGCCGGTGCAAGATTCGCATTGCTTTTCGCCAATATTGGCCCATCTCTCCCCACCCCAGACCGGGTGCCTGGGAGACGTTGGTTCGTCTTCGTCCGTATGCTCGGATTTTGTGGCCGGTCGATGCCTCTCATAGACACACCACCGACTGCCCCTTGCTACCAAGTCGGGCAGGGGGCACAGTCTGCCGGTCCATCTCAGTCAAAGGAAGCCGTGGAGCTGCTGCTAGAATGGTGGCCGGATCGACGGTGGCTGTCTCTCGAGCTGTGACTGGATGACGTGTGCCGGCTCTTCTTGGAACGGCGGGGAGTCTCAGTGGCTGGTAACCCCTGGACGATGCCGTTGCGAGCAAGCATGCCACCATTGACCGAGAAGTTGCGGCAGACCATGAAGGCACGCATGGCGGCGTTTTCCTGGGCCAGAGAGTCTGATTCGTACGCGAGATCCGTTTGGTACTCTCGCCCGTTGACCAGAACCAGGCAGGTGTAGCCATTGTGGTCCCGGTAGCACTCGTACGTAGGGTCCATCCATCCACGTCGTCGGCAAAGGCCTAGAATGCACCAATTAGTCCCCTGGTCTTTTTTATTTGTCAGATTCACTCCGGATCATGATGATGGTAGTGGAACTGAGCGGGATCGGCGAGTCGATGAGTGATGTCTGCATCCGAGCCCAACCCAAATCGCACCGTTTTCCATCTAGACTTGGAGCCCTGCGTACCGTTCCTTGGAAGGGAGCCGCAACACGAGGCTAACGTCGATCACGGGGCGAGACGCCACGCCCCGGCTTGTCGAGATCCGTCAGGATCCAAGAAACGCATGTCATTTCTGTGTCTTGAAAGCATGCAGGGGTCGGCACACGATCTGACCCGTTCACGACGGACGGCCCGGGCCCACTTATACAGACGATGGTGAAGAGGATGTTCAGGGAAGCATTGGGCTCCAACAAATCATCTACAAAAATCAATTGATGACTTACTCTCAAGGTACTGCATGTAGAAGCCTCCCATGCTGTCGGTGGTTCCCAATGGGTTGATTAGGAGGTAGGAAGGCGGCTCGGAACCGGTGGCAGGGGGGAGGACGTTGTCTCAAAGCCGGAGCGGGAGAAAAAAGTGAAGCAAGAGAGAGTAGACTCTTAGCCAGACAAGGGGATCGATGTCCGGACGCCGTGAGATGCAACCGAGCCCAACGGTGAGGCGAGCAGAGAGATCTGTGGTTTAGGACGGCCTGGGCTCGCACGCACTCCACGCACCACACGCCGAACTGTCTTTGGGGGGGGGAGGAGTTGTATGTCAGGCGTAGGGCAGAAATCCGGGGCGTGCTCGGGGGTAGGCGAGTATGTATGAGTTGGCTCAACGAGACTAAAAGAAGAAGAGCTGGGGCCGGTCGGATTTCGATTTGTTTTCGTGGTTTCCAGGTTGGAGAGAAGTAAGGCTTGGGGAGGGTATTGGGAGACGGGGGTGGGGGACAAGATGAAGAAAGCCGGTGGAAGGGGTGTTGTTGATGTGTTGTAACTCGTGAAGTGTGTGTGCGCGTATGCGTGTGTGCGTGTGCGTGGTGTGTAGTGGGTGGGTGGTGTTGTAAGTTAGGCTACGTATCCAGGGCTTCCGCTTCTTGGGTCGCAGGAAAGCATCGGAGCCATGAATGGCGAGACATGTGTCTGCTTTATTGCAGAAAAGGGTGCGTTCTCTTTCTCCCCCTCCTCTCTCTCTCTCTCTCTCTCGTGCTCTGGGCTTGTTAATGAACTAGTGCGGGGGCAGGGGGAGGGGGAGGGGGAGGGGGTGTAGGGGTGTGGTCCAGCAACAGATCCCGGGTCCAACATCAACATTTGTAAAGGTACATCAACCTGGCAACGATACCATCCGCAGCAGTGCGTGGTAATGAGAGCTACGGCGGCAACGGCAGGAAAGGAGGGACCGGATGAGCAAAAGAGGGGATGCACGAGGAGGAGGAGGAGGACGACGACGACGACGACGACGACAAGCAGCAGGGCGTCTAGGTAGGTAGGTAGGTAGTAGTAGGTAGGCAAGAAGGTACCTCAGCCCTGGTGGAGGTTATGGAAAGAGAGACGCCAAGTGGACAGGGAATAGGAAAAATTGGGCACTACCTACTATGTACGGACGGAAAGTACACAACGGGGTGGTTCTCTCCTTCTTCTTCTTCTTCTCCTTCTCCTTCTCCTTCTCCTTCTCCTTCTCCTTCTCCTTCTCCTTCTCCTTCTCCTTCTACTACTTCTCTCCCCTCCCGCTCCTTCCTCTCCTCGGTCTTTGGGCTCGAGGTGCAAGCGGCGATGCGGCTCTCGAAAGAGTGTGACCCATGCTTTGCTGCGTTGGCTCGTCTCGTCGCCAGTTGATAAAAAACCCACTGGAGACCAGACAACTCCACACACCAACGCTTCAAGGAGGGGAGGGGGGTACCAGCGTCATCGCTGCGCCAAGGGCCGGGGCAGCCCAGACGAAGATCTACCTCTGCTGAGAGGTCGGTCCTCTCCCCCCCCCCCCCCCCCCGGAGCTGGACAAGCCGCCGCGTCTCTGTGTGCGATGGCGTGGGTATTTTGTGCGACAGCACCCTGCTGGTAGCGAAAATAACCTCCATCTGCGTTTTTCTCCGAGTCTTCTATTTCAAATAGCGATGTCTAATGTGATTGCTCGGGAATCGCGCAACGGATGCACTGCCTATAGCGTGCCTACCTCCAGATTACCTGGACGGCGGTACGATCCTAGGACTTCCAGGGATGAATCCAATCCTTAGCTAGATCTGTCGGATTGGGGCGGGTCAAGCCGGCCCACCAAAGGCCAAATTCGCCTGTTAGTAGTCTAGTGGCCCGATCCCCCGGTCGCCCCATCCTCGTCTCCCTGGGCTGTAGCGAACGAGTATCAGGGACCATTGCTGTAGAATATTAGGTGGTGATTGTACAGAGGGAACCCCCGATAACCTTTTTCCCCTTCGGCCCTTCGGGGACCTTGCCGGCCATGATACTTCAGATGCTTCGGGTGCTTCACCGTCTTGGGAGCCCCGGCTGTGAGGTATTAACTGTGCAGCCGCCGGTCGTGCCGCCGACCATGGACTGACTTGCACTTCCTTCGGCTTTAAAAAAGACGGCTTGTGGTTTGCTGACGGCGTCGTCGTCAAGCAAAGGCGCGCGCCTCCGTCTGCATTACATGACTACATGACCGAAACTTTGCATCAAGTCTCTCTGACCGTGTGTGGCCCGCCGGGTCGCATAGCGGGCTGCTTTAGCTGCTCTAGGGCTACGTACAGCGGACAAAAACGCCAGTTCCGGCCGGAGGCGGAGGAAAGCCGAGAGACGAAAAAAAAAAAAAAGACCTGAAGAAAAAGGCAACCACTGACGAGGCATTTGTAGTTTTCAAAGCCGGTGGCGAAATGCAACCATTCCGAACAGCAGGACCCAATCTAATGGTCCCGGCTTCGTTTGGCTGTACCCTGCAGGAGACGACAACCGTATTTTGTACAGGAGCATGCCAAGTACCATGGACCCAGGACCAAGTCATTGTTCCTTACAACGTATGTAGTCTCTGGCTGAATTGCCTTTTGGCCCATGGCGAGTCAAAACGCCAGGGCATGCTTATTTCATTCTCTTCTGCGCCTCCTGGGAGGGATGTGCCTGGTAGCATCTGGACGCCACTATTCCAGTGAGTTTATAGCAAGTCAGAGGACGACTGCTAAGGAATTAAAGCCCCGAGCTTGTTGTGTGTTGACAGCGACTCATCATGTGCCCGTAGCCAAGCAGCAGCGAGCAGAGGGGCCGGTTAGCATCCGTCGACGTATGCTCGGATTATCATCGTGTCAAAGGTGCAAGCTTCTTCTTCTTCTTCTTCTCCCTCTCCCTTGAGGCTTGTTATCGTGAGTGTCGGACTCGGCGTGGTCCACAACCAATTGTCCATTGCTTTGTCACGGATCGAACATCGTGTTGCTCGTCGAGTCCGCCGATCATTGTACAACTGTGCGTCCATATGTCATAGGATACGTACGAGGCCAGGTACATTGGTTGCTGGGCTTGCGTGCATGTACAGACTGCAGTTGATTCCCAATGCTGCGGGGGCAATTTGTCGCAAACGGTGGGTGGGATTCGGACTCTGAGTTGTGCACTGCACTTATAGCAGACGTTGACATCGAGTCCCCTTGCTCCGCTGGTCATTTACCCCATGGTAATGCTGAACCCGAGGTAGAGGCATTGGAGACATTGTGTTTCCAACAGAGAAGGACCAAGAACTTTGGGTCGAAGAACTGTCAACCGCTCCGAGTTCGTCTGTGCCATTGTCAGGCAAAGGCTGGCCGAGCCAATTGATGCTAGATGGGACAGGGGAACGGCGGCGTTTGAATGGTAGGCGCCGGGCCCACTTCTGGGCATGGGCAATCCAGTGGCTCCCAATGATGTGCAGCGGTGGCGGGCGGTTCATCGTCAACGTCAAAATCGTCAGTCAAGTTGTCTAGTCGCGCAGAGCAGCGCTTATGGCCAGTAAGAGATGACGAACATCGAAATCTCCTTCGAAAATGTCGACAAATCAGCTGCAGAGAAAGTAGACCAGAGCCGATGGGTCATGTACCTATCTGTACACCAGCAAAGACCCCTTGCGATGACGGAACAGGGTCCCTCTATGGGGCAGCGAATCAACG